TAAAAAATAAAAATGGGGGAGTACTTTCCTCATCCCACCGCAGTAGTTAGCGAACTGTGGTCTCTGTTCCGAACAGCCGCTTCCAACCGCAGTGGTCAGAACATACTCCCAGGGTTTGTGAGACGGTTGAGGCGTACGTTGGTTAAACTGTACTGACCCACCACAGGTCATGGAGCCCTTTTCAGCCAGTTTCTAGGTCTTATTATGCACCCCGCTACCACAGCGAGGTGCCAGGCACCGGGGCGCGAACCCCGGCCCAGAGCCGACACTTAATTGATACCTATGGCGCAGTGCTACTAACAATGGTAACCACTACGCCATCGGAACTCCACGAGAGGGGCGAGGTGAAATGACGGGTTTGAAGTCCATTCGAAATTTGGTGGACTGAGAAAAAGTTCAGAGACGGGGATTCGAACCTCCGTCCTCCCACGTCGTGGACGGGCGCGCTACCGACTGAGCCATAGAGACAAGATACGGGTTGTCGGTCCAGGGAACTATGCATTCTACCCTGTCGCTGACTGCCAAAAAAAATGTAAGTGTGAAGAAATAATTCTTTTTTGTTCACACAACATATACCTATTTGTGCGTTTTGAAGTGCTGGGAACGACATATTAAAAGATGGCGATTACTTTTTTGGGGTTCCTTTAGTGAGAGGTTTGACGGGACTTAGTCGCTGTGGCCCAAAGTGTCGCACTCACCTGCTGAACAAACCTGTTGATGATCCCCCTCCCCCTCCCCCCATTGTCGTCGTGAGCCCTCCCCCTACCCACCCCACATCCCGTCGCGCCTTTATGGAAACGGAAACGTAAACAAACAGGATATCGGCGTCTTCTGCTCAATACCGGTAATACTTTACCCAATTTATCCTACGATTTTAAACAGAATTTTAGGGTGGATAGCGTTGTCAGAGATAGTTAACTCTGGCGTTGCTTCTTGATATTAATCGCCAGCCATAGTGCTTGATGGTTTCCGGAATATTGAATTGTTCTTGTTCCGGTTATTGTAGGAGGTTAGTGTGCCAGTGGCTCCATTCTCCTCCATTACCCACACAAGCTGTAAGTTGTTTTTAGAAGCGCTTGTAAGCTTTGTGGCATAGGTGTTGAATGGGTACACTCCTCCCTTCCATGCAGTATGTTAAATACTGTTGTAGGTCTATTTGTTAATGGGTATACTGTCAGTGTGTTATCATATATATCATATATTTTATTCCGCATTATTTTTGTGGAACATCAAAATGTATTACTTCTGGTTGGGGTGCTGGCTTTCATAGTCTACAGAGGGTTTTAGCTCAATTTGTATAACTCACTAAACAACAATCAATCGGTGTGCGTTGCAGCTAATCTGCAGTATGTGCAGAGGGATATGTTATGTACACTTAAAGCTTGAGTCCAGTAACAAAAAATAGTTATTTGAAAGACCATGGTCATTTAGATTTAGAGTATGGAGGGAGAGGAATTTAAAAGTGTGTTGTATGAGTAAATCATATGTAATTAAAAGTTGATGATTGTTTAGTAATAGATGGAAGCAAGCATTACAAAAAATAGCGCTAAAAGTACCGTTTAATATGATTGCAGGAACATGGCCTGGAAATGTTCTTGCCATAACAAAGAATTCTATGGAGTCATTTTACCTGAAAGAATAGGTGAGTTGACATATGATAGAAAAAAAAAGCATGTCTAATTTTTCTCTATGCAAACTATATGGGAAGCCTCCTTTGTTGTGCATGGAAGGGCGCTTTATGATGGTTTTTGTGGTGGTGCTTTCCTGTTGATTTCCTCCCCCACCAAAACCCAGTCTGATTTGTTGTAATTGAAAATGTCTTTTAAAAATCTTGATAGTTCAGAAAATTTATGGAATTGGTTCGGATTGGATAGGTAGGCAGCCCGTTCTACGCTGCCCGCCAGATTCAAAAGACCGCCCCTTAAAACTCAAGTTGCTGTGGACAAGGGTGGTTTCTGACAGAACCAAAAGTAGTTTTGAGGTCCCCTGGTTCACCCCCGTCGATTTCCTGGAAATGGTTGGGATAGGTCCGACAGCACTCCCTTTCAATCTCTCCGTCGGACCATTTTAAGTGACTTACGCCTGGTTTTCTTGGACCGGTTCGCCTGCTAGGTAGGCAGCCCATCTCACGCTGCCCGCCAGATTAGACCACCCTTCAAACGCAAGTTTCTGACGGAACCATAAGTTGTTTTGTGGTCCCCTGGGTCACCCCTGTCGATTTGACTACTTTTCCGTCTCAATCCGGACCCATCAATTTCCACTAAAAAAATAAAGGCTATTTGACTTCGTAAATTTGCCCAAAAGTGACAAAAATTAAAATCGCTGGAAATAGTTGGGATTCGTCAGACTGAATCCTCTTTCAATCTCTACGGCGAATTTTCACGGCGCCGAGCCATTTTAAGTTAGATACGCCTGTTTTTTTGGACGGGTTCGCCTGCGCGGTAGGCAGCCCATCTTACGCCGACCGCCAGATTCAAAAGACCACCCCTTAAAACTCAAGTTTCTGAGGACAGGGGTGGTTTCTGACGAAACCAAAAGTAGTTTTGTGGTCCCCTGGTTC